TAGTAGTGGTAGTAGTACGAGTAGTACTAGTTTAGTAGTACTAGTAGTCGTCGTCGTAGTCGTCGTCGTAGTCGCCGTCGTAGTCGCCGTTGTAGTCGTCGTTGTGGTCGTCGTCGTAGTGGTAGTAGTAGTTGTTGTTGTTGTTGTTGTGGTCATGGTTGTTGTTGTATACAACAACAGCTACATCATCACCACAGTCGCCATTGAGAGAACTCGTATTGCGACTTGCTACTGCAATGAAAGCATTCTTGGTATTGCTAGGTGCTAATGGTGCTAGACATTGTGTTCATGTCATTTTCGCCAGCTGTTGAATGTTGCTGTTTCTGTTTGTGCTCCATCTGTGATGTCAGTGTTTCTTTGCCCTTGCCACCTAGGGCAATTCCCAGGGTCACGAGGCCGAGGATGCCAAAGGTGCGCTGGCAGTGAGCGGGTTCGACCTGCTCGGGTGGCCTCTCATAGCCGGCCGACATGGTCACCCCTGTTGCCGACATAGCCAAGCTCAGCGCACAGGCAAGGCGAGGTGACGTTCAAGCTCTTGTGAGCCCGCTTGCCGACAAACACAATGCTAGCTGCTAGCTCAACATGTGAATGTGTTAAAGTAACTTTGTGAAGAATTTCTGAGCTCTACCAGCCACAACGTCGAGCCCCGCCCCAGCCAAATGATCTGCCTGAAGCGCACACCCAGGTCTTACGTCTTAAACCTTGTGCCGTCTTTGCCGAGCTAGGTGCCATCTACAAAGAGGACAAGCTACCAAAAGGGTTAGGGTTTGGGGTTGTATCTACCGGGAGCACCCTAAACTAAACCCCAAAAGCCACAACCCCAAACCTTGCGGCGGCCTTGCAGATTGGATCCACGGTGGGCTCGTAGCCCGGCGCGCAGCCCGCTCCCTTTTGGGAAGCCGGACGTCGGGGCAAAATTTCCAAAGCTGCGAGGATCGGTAAGTTACCAACAACTAAATGGCCTGAGCCCCGAATCTATTGCACCTTCTCTCGCATGTGGGTGGGGTTTCTGAATCGTCATAGCCGAAAGTACGTAGAGAACATATGCGAAACTCCTTATCCTTCTACGAGAACATCAAGCACTGGCACCCTGCTGCGGTACTGCAGTTGAAAGTGAAGCTGTTCATACGAGGTAACTCCCAACCGCGCTGTGCTGGGATGCCGCACGCAGCGTGCTCCATGAAGAACAGATGTCCTGACAGAGTGGCCGATTTGTCAAGCCTCACATCCCTGCTCTCCCGCATGCAGCATTTTTGGAGCACCAGTCACTGCTCTTGGCCATTGTCACACTTGAAGATTTCAAGCTGCACAGCGTCTGAAAAGCTGGCATGAACAAACAAAATACTACCACCAACGCTCTTCAAACGCGAACGTCCCCCCCTCTAAAGGATCTCTAGAGACTCTAGAGGCAATACAGTGCAAGCACGCGGGCTATCGTCAAGAGCACAAGTGGCCTGGATCAAACACAGACACCCTTAACCCTAAGCCCGGCCCCAAGCCCAACAAGCAGACTCAGGCGAAGATGCCGCCGACGACAGCAAAGAATTGAGCAGGAAATGCGAACACTTGCCGATGTGTTTTTAAAACGCCGCATCGGCCAGGCCGGCAACTTCAACCATTCTAGTTTTTATGCACGGACACCTAGGCCAAAGTAAAGAATGTCCAATTCTGGCATGTGTATACATATACATACACGTACATACGTACATACATACATACATACATACATACATACATACATACATACAGACAGACAGACACACGGACATGCAGACCCACCTGCATACATACATGCATGCATACGGACCCACAGACATACATACATACATACATACATACATACATACATATGTACATACATAACATAACATGACATAGCCTAGCCTAGCCATATAGGCACAGCCATAGCCTAGCATAGCATAACAGCGCAGACCAGCATATTCATAGTAGACATAGCATACAATTTACATGTAAGTGACATATACATCATACATCTACATATTATATACATATATTATATGTACGTTGATTTCTTGCTTACTCTTATTTACACACACATCTACAAATGTATGTGTATATATATATATATGTGTGTGTGTACATATATATGTA